TCCTTATGTTTGGATGGAACTCTCAGTCTGCTCTTCTCCAGGCTAAACAGCCCCAGGTCTCTCAGCCTTTCCTCATCAGAGAGATACCCCAGTCTTCGTAGCCCTCTGTTGGACTCTCTCCAGTAGTTTCCTGCCTCCCTTGAAATGGGGAGCCCAGAACTGGACGCAATAGTCCACATGTAACTTTACCAGGACAGGGTAGAGAGGAGAACCTCCCTCAACCTGCTGTCTACACTCTGCTTAATGCACCCCAGGACACCATTGGCCTTCTTGGCCAGAGGGCACATTGCTGGCTCATGGTGAACTTATTGTTCACCAGGACTCCAAGGTCCTTCAATGTGAAGCTGCTTTCCAGCAGGTCAACCCTTAACCTGTACTGGTGCATGAGGTTATTCCTCCCCAGTTGCAGGACTCCATGCTTGCCCCCATTGAACCTTGTGAGGTTCCCCTACTCCCAACTCTCCAGTCTGTGCAGGTCTCACTGAAGCACAGCCTTCCAGCCTATCAGCTGCTCCTCCCAGTCTTGTATCATCAGCAAACTTGCTGAAGGTACACTCTGTCCCTTCGTCCAGGCCATTGATGAATATGTTGAACTTGATTCTCTTCTTCCCAGCAAATGCTCTCCTCCTGCTGCAAAAGCACCAAGAAGGTTCCCAGCACTCAGCCCTTCCATCTCTTAATGCTCCCTGTATTTTTTTTTTCCTTTCTACTTCCCTATAGTGCCAAACCCTTGTGCCATGAGAGGCCTTTTGGGTTTAAGGCAATCGGCTGTGGCCGGCTAGCTCCTGTTAGGCTTTGCCATGCATTCTGAGTTAGCAGCACAGCTGCTCTTCCAGTGCTGCTTTAACGTGTGTGCCTAGGAAGCTAATGTTTTCACCCATCACTGCTAATAGCTGTGGCTCTGTGCAAAGTCAAGGCAGCTCTGTGCATGACCTGGCTATGGTTTGGCTGCCAATGCCATGCAGGCACCCCTGCCTATCTGCAGTGTGCTCTGACTCTTGGGAACTTACTGGAGCCACGGCATTAGGATCAGGAGCTCAACACTGATGGCCAGATCCATGCAGAGAGACAGGCTTTCCCTCCACAGAAAGCTCTGGTCTTCTGCACCCGTCATGCTGCACCTGTAAAACTCTCAGAGCCTCTCCCAGCATGAGCAGAGGGTGCCCAAGGCCACAGCCAGACACACGCCCATGCTTGTACCTGTGGCCCCTTGCAACCACATGCAACCTCAGCAACTGCTCACGCACCGCAGCAGCGGCAGGAGATGCAGGCAGCCCTGGCTCCCCTGCCTGCATCCCGCCACATTCACATCACTCCCGTGGCTAGAAACAGCAGTTTTCTCCATGCATTTGTGTTTTTGTTTGTCCTCCACTAACCAGCTCCCAACTGGAGGCTGTGGTTCCCATGTGGTGTGGCTGGTGTCCCTTGCTGTGGCAGCTCCGGAGAGCACAGAGCAATGCCCTGGGCAAAGGACCCAGCTGGGACAGGCAGGACTGACCCCTCTCTCCCTGCAGCACCCACCAGGCCAGCCCACGGCTCCAGCACGTGTTTGCCACGGGTGTTTTTCTTCCCATCTCAGCTCCCAGCAGCGTGGGGGGAAGAGGAGAGTGGCAGCTCCTGGCAAGCCAGGCTCCTCATCGCTACCTGCAAGCACAGCAGCTGAGCGCTTCCGAATAGGAAAGCAAATAAACAAGCTCAGTGAATAAATACAGCCTTTCACGTCTGTGTTTTGCAGAAAATAATGATTTTTAACTCCTCTACTGTTTGTTCTCCAGGACCAGGCTGAGCATCCAAAGCCATCAGCCCCACCAAGTGCCTGTGCCGTGCCCGGTCAGCCCTGTGGCACACACCAGCAGCCCCTCACCAACTCTGAGACCCCCTCCCAGACCCCAGCATCACTGTTTAATGACAAAACCACAATCCAGCCCCTGACCTGGGCCAGCACACTGGCAGAGGCGGAGAAGTAGGACAGAGAGTCTCTTTGCTAGCATTATTTTTCCCTCTGGTCCCCACAGAAACCAGGTTTGGTCTCAAGCCAGCCCACGGAAGGAGCATCTGCTCCAGTATAAGAAGAAAAGCCAAATACTCCTTAGCCCCTGTTTTGGACCACAGAGACAGCCAGAGAGGCCACAAAGCTGAAACTCCCCTCTAAAACAAATTAAAGTCTTTCAGGCTCCCAGGGACAGGATCTGGAAAAGCCGTAAACACTCCACAGTTGTAGGCTTTTTTATTTTTAACCCATACTGTGATTTCTACCTAGGAAGACATTGTTTCATGCAGGCACAGCTGATGAAAACAATGCAAAAGACAAGCACATCCACAAAGTAACATACATGGAAAGTACCATGGGGCCGATTCGCTTTCCCTGATGCTATCTATGAATTCCAAGAACTGTACTTCTACGCCTGGTAAAATTGTGAAAAAATGGATCTTAAAATCACGATACAGTTACACAGGGGAATGCCATAGTAAGCAATTTCTTTGAGAGATTGCTAAAGTGGTTCTCCTGCAATCTCGCTCCCCTCTGTGGTGTTAACCTGCGAAGACGCAGCCTCCCATCACTTTAACTCCAGGGGAAAAGCGGAGCACCCTGCTGACCCCCCCAAACCTGGGCCATGCACTCAGAAGGTCCATGCTGGTTCACAGTGGGAGCGTGCTCTGGTTTGCTGCTCTGAGTGATAAAGGTGATGGCAGAGCAGCCCAGTAGCTTTCCAACCCTCCTCAGCCCTCTGCAGGGATTACATCCCCCAGGTGCATACCTCATTTTGCCATTAAAAAAAAAAAAAAAAAAAAAAAAAGGCAGAAGCTTTTTGCTTCCAAGCAGCAAAAGGACTGAGCACCCACAGCCTTTGCAACCTAGAGGCACGCTGTGAGACAGCCCCTGTCTGCGGGAAAGGTGGGAAGTGCAGCCTGACAGTGCTGGGAACAGTGTCCATCCCTTGCTGCCTCCCACAGCCAATCAGCAGCATTTTACTATCAAGGCCACAGTCCTCATTCAATTAAAAGACAAGGAAGGTCCCTAATCCTTTCCATTAGAGCTGGTTCTTCACAGAGGAGCGGGAAAGGGAGGTACCTTATGGTCCTGGACACCATGACAGAGCATGTCTGCCCAGTGTTGCAGCTGGTGCTGGGAAATTATTTGGATACTAGGGCTGTGGCCCCACCAAGTGTCCTGGAGTGCTCCCAGTTCAGCAGCTGTGGTGGTCAACATGGGATCCCGCAGGGCAGGTCCTGCAGAGCATGGTTTCCAGCACTCCCAGCAGCACCTCCCATTCCTACCCTCCAGTAAGGTCCAGGTGGTGGAGCAGCAAATCCCAGACACCAAATGGATCAGCTCCACCCTTCCCAGTAAAGACACCCTAAACAACAGGAGACCAGACTTTCTCAGGAACTGCCAGTGCAAACCCTCGAGGTCAATCAGACCGCAAATCACTGGTCGCTGTAGCTCACTGGCTCCAGCACAGGGAGCAGGGCTGCTAATTGCTGCAGGCACTGAAGGACAGGGAGGAGGGGAGTGCCGGTGGGAGCAGGCCCTGGGTTTTGCAGGTCATTGGCACAAGGAATAAGGTTCAGTACAGACTGCTGGTACCAGGTATGGGCAGCGCTGCAGCAGGGTGGTGCAGGGAGGCAGCAGCTTCCCAGCTGCACTAAATGCAGGGGAACCACACCACCAGGCAGGGAAAAATCACCTTTCCTGCTATACTCAATTATACCTGGGAAACAGACACTGTGGTTAAGTCTCCAATCCCATTGATACACCAGAAGCAGACAACTCTTTTTTTTTGTCTGAACACCCAGGTGGTTCATTCCTGCCTAATTCCCCCATCAAACAGCAAGACCAGACACTGCTGCTCCTTTAAGAAAAGGAAAACCAAATCTTCATAGCGGCATCATGAACTCTTCCCCTTTCTATCCGAGTCTAGGTTCCATGGTCCATCTACCTATGCACTCCATCCTGCAACCCAGGAGGACTCTGGGATGGACTGAGCAGGAAGGGGAACCCAACAGTGGCAGCATGGTGCCTTCGTCTGGAGTTAAAAAACAGCCTTCCTGCTCAAAACAAAGTCGCTATCAAAGCATGTTTCCCTGTCACAAGCCATCCAATTTGCCTCCTGCAGAGTAAAGCCACTCTGCAAATCTCCAGGCATTATGGGAACCAGAGTATAAAAACATTCCCGGTGCAACGACGCCGAAATCGATGCTGAGATTAGGCTGGGAACAGAACTGGCACGGTTGCTTCCAGCCCATAAACTAAAATATATGTATGTGGCTGAGCGCCCACAAAGATATTGCACTTTGTATTTGATATTGCCTGTAGCTTTTTTTTAATGCTTCCAGTTTTGCCCTCATGTTGTTCTCTGGGCACCCCAAGGGCTTGGTCACCAGCAGCTTCAAGTGGCTGCAAAACACAGGAACCAAGCCCTGCTGTTCTCCTGCTCCATCAGCACCAACAGATGTTTGCAGCATGAGCACCCAAGGTCCCAGCTCCCTGTCAGACACTGAAGCACTGTCCCTGCACTGGAGAGGGGGTCTGTGCCTAGTGCCAGGACTCCCCGAGGCTGCCATAGGCATGCAGGCACATCCAGTGCCTGCTCCACAAGGATGGCACACATGCAGTGCCCAGAAACCATGTCCACTCTTACAGACCTGCCCCAGGGAGCACAGGAGGAGGAAGAGGAGGGAAGGAAGGATATTTTCCCCACTCCCCAGGGACAGCCTTCATGCAGGAGGTTTGCTGCAGCCCATGCTCACAAGGTTTTGCTCTCCACAACAGGTTGTGCAGCCAGCCCAGACACGAGGGTCGAAGCCCATAGAGCTCCCTTTGCTCTGCCTGTAGCACATTCCTCTTTATTCCCCATCTCCTGGCCAAACAGGAGGGACTGACCCCATCTCCATCACAAAGGAAACTCAGCACCTCACAGTTTTCCAGGACACAGAAAAATCATCTCCAGCTCCCCATCCCCAGCTGCCCGAAGAGACCTGAGAGCAGCGCTACTCACATTGTACAGGACTGTGGTCCACCCTTCCATGGTGATGCACTGGAAGACGGTCAACACAGCAAAAAGGATGTTGTCGAACTGCGTGATCCCATCGTTGGGACCGATCCACTCCCGGCACTCATAGCCTGGGGGGCAACCCTGCACCCCACATGGATGGGGCGGGTCCAGCTCCTCCAGCTCACCTGCAAGCACACAGCAGACAGCCGAAGGAGGCAGAGGTAAGAGAGAGGCAGGGGACAGATGAGGGGGAGAGCCTGAATGCAGACGGTCTTGGGGCAGAGCAGGGGACCCTGCTGGGACTAGCCCTGGCTGCTCCCATAAGAAACTGGGCCATCCTGAATGCAACTGGGTAGTGCACCAAGCAAAATGCAGGATCTTCTCAGCCCTGGGCTTCCCACAATAGCAACAAGTGCTCATCCCAGCTGTTTTCCAGCTGTGGAATGCAAAGTGAGTGCAGAGCCCTTCTCCCACCTGAATTGTTCGTGTAGCAGGCTCGGTGCAGCTTCCCGCTGTAAAACTCCAGGCCAATGATGGCAAACATGAGGATAGCGAAAAAGAGCAGCAAGCCAATCTGGAGGAGAGGCACCATGGCCTTCATGATGGATTTCAGCACAATCTGCAGGCCTGGGAGAGGAAAGAAAGGGCACAGTGAAGCAAACTCCCCACCTGGGGCATGTCCATCCCATCTCTGACAAGAGGAGAACACCGAGCAGAGAGAACAGTCAGCAGACATCTGATAGATGGGCTGGATCTTCTAGCCTAGCCTGGAGGACCCTTTTGGGCAGCTAAGGACTATGGAGGTGAAATGCTGGGGTTTGAACCCCAAGGCCCGAATTACAGTTGACATATGGGTGATTCCCACAGCCCTTCATACAGAGGTGGTGA